ACAATAGATAAGGTTATAAACAAAGTGAAAGTGATAATGATCACACATGATCAAATTAGGCGTACGCATTCTTGTTGCAGTGTTTCTAAGCCGACACTATTCAGTTAGACTATCTTCATTCCTATATTGAAGTCCCTATATAAAATCACAAAAGTTTTTCACAAAACAATAATATAATGCCTAATATAATACAAAAAATATAAAAATAAGAAAAACAAGAAAATTTATTAATGCGGGAATTACTTTAATTTGTATAAATATGAATTTATAGAAATAAATATTCGTAAAGTTAGAAGTAACATGTAGTAAATTTGGTTCGAAAGAGATAACTGTTTCTTCTTTCAGAACGGCATTGCGTTATATTATATTGAGGTTTAAATACTTATATTTAATGATGTAAATTTATTAGCGATTTAAATGTTATTATCGAAGTAATATTTATTATCTAGGGAATGCAACTGTCAAAGTCCTACATTTTACTAGTATATTATCATTACAATTTTACTGGAACAGTCAGCAGATAATTCTGTTCAACTTGCGTGATATGCAGTTGTAGCAAAGGAAAATTTAATATATGATGTAATATGAAAAATATTTACATAAAAAGTCAAAATAAAGTGCCGGAAAATGGAAGCTTTAAATGTACTAATTGCGATAGGTCTCATTCACTGTTTACTACTCTTCTTTGACACAATTTTTAAGGTATAATTTGCTAAGAACGAACGCATTCACATATATATTTACAGTTATAAAATATTAAAATATATTTGTTAGTAATTAAAAAAAAAACATTTCTTATGAATAAGAATATTAATTATGAATTACTTTAATTGTAACATACGTTTATAATATAATTATGTTATGAATAATAATTATGAACATTGTTTATTTTACAGTCATGTTCACATTACCCATACCTCTATTTTCTGAAAAATACTGGTTTAGAAATTCAAGTATTAAGGATAACATGGTTTACTACAGCATTTAATCGCAAGATAATTAAATGGGGAATGGGTCGTTCTAAATTTTGGACTGCTTGGTTTAATGCAGGGGTCATTGTTAGTGTTATTCTTTTGCCCCTTGCAACAATTGCAATTTTAAGAATGACATTTAATATATGGACTAATGGGCCATCCCTTGATAACAGTAATTCAGAACCTTTATTAGAACCTATGGTAAACATAATTTTATGTATCATTTAAGTACTCATTTTTATTTTATAATATAAATTTTACATATTTAATAAATATTTTAACAATTTAGTAATAGATATCATTAACACTTCTTTTGATAAACTTCAATAATAATAATAAGTGACCTTAATCTTTTATAGTTACCTGGAATAGATGTGCCCTGCAATGAAATTGGATATTACATCATTACATTAGTAATTTGCACTTTCATGCATGAGTTAGGGCATGCATTGGCTGCAGCAAGAGAAGATGTTCAGTTGTTTGGTCTAGGAATACTGATTGTCTTTATAATACCTACAGCTTATGTACATATAAGCAGTGAACAACTTACTTTATTACCGATAAAGAATCAACTACGAGTTATTTGTGCAGGAGTTTGGCATAATATAGTACTTGCAACAGCAGCTGCAACTATTGTTATGCTCTCTACATGGTTGTGGACACCATTTTATGCAGTTGGAAATGGAATTTATGTAAAAACTATTTTACCTGTAAGTCAAGGAAAAAATTGATGATACTTGTATTTTATTAATTTATTTGTGAAATAACTTGTTAATAATATAATCAATGAAAGTAAAACAAATTATTAGTAATGAATTAAAAATGGTAAGTTCGTTTTAGTATAAAAATTTACGTTTATAGAATTCACCTGTACTAGGTCCAACAGGACTTCTTGAACAAGATGTAATATATGAGATTAATGACTGTCCTGTAAAACGAACTGAAGATTGGTATAATTGTATACTGCATACAATTAATCAACCAGCTCTTGGTTTTTCATTTATATTATTTTTTATAATAAGTAAAGAGGATTCTCTTGTTTACTTTTTAAATACATATATTTCAGTTTATGTGTATCTAATATATTCATACTAATTTAGGAATATGATGAATCAGTTCCATCTAGACAAAAAACTAATGGTGTTATAAACTGTTGTACATCAGACAGTGAAGTTGGTGGGAGTTTATGTTTTGAATACATTGAAGGACCACAAGCAGCCCCTCTTCATTTACCTCCACATTCTTGCCTTCCAGCCAGAGCTATGATTAATCAATCACAAAATTTTTGTCATGCTAGTCATGAATGTCTATTCCATGATACTCACTGTTTAAAACCTTCTCTTGACAATATCACTAAGGCATGTAAACGATAAGAATAAGCATTTAAGTATTAATCAAATAATGATTTACGATATTTAAGGTGTTTTAATAATTTATTTCTATTACAGATTGTTCAAATAAAAAGAAGGGAGGGAAAGGATGTCTTATTTTTCGGACATCCAGCAGATATTTATAGAACAGTTGATGTATCTGATTGGATACCTAAATATTCATTTTTAAATCCTAAATTACCAGAAACTGTAACACTTCTTTCCAAATATATTACAGTATTTTCTGCGGGACTAGCAGTCATTAACATTATGCCTTGTTTCTTTCTAGATGGACAATATATTATAAATATACTTATGCTTTATTTATTAAATTTCACGCCGCACAATAAAAATATTAGACAAACCATTATATTAACCATAACAAGTATAAGTACATTACTTCTTATCATAAACTTATTGTATGTACTTATGAATAAATTATTATAAATAGTAAAAGAATGTTGCTAATATTCAAAATTTCTATTCATAATACAAAGTACATTGTAATGAATTACATTCCTATATAACCTTAATGCCACTTTCGTATCACTTAAATATCTTAATAAACCTGGCAGTCTTGTCTGAAGAATTATTTACATCTTTGGAACAACAAATTGGACCACATAGGAAGATTATATTATACAATATATTTCTGTATTTTTTGAAGGTGAGTTATAGTAGATATAATATATAAAGTCTATCTATTATATTTCCAAGTACAATATAAAAATAAAGCTAATGCTAAGTTCTGATATGATAAAAAAGCAATTAATGTTTACGCTTCTACTTTCAACATAGTGTTATGATTACAATTATTGTATAATAAGATTTAACTATTATTGGAAAATGAACGAAAATTGTATACCTATATTAAATATGTACGTATATTTTGTTTTGATTACTATCTATTACGAAACTTCTTTATATCTAGTACTTTTTATTTGTGTTATAATAATGATATATTCAGCAGTATTAGAAAGTGATGTTATCGCTTTGTTGCTGCATCTGCATCCAGTGCTGTAATAATACAAAAATCATTAACACGTTTTTTAAATTAATTTGTATCTAGTGCTGTAACAATACAAAAATTATTAACATACTATTCTTTAGAAGATAGATGGAGTTTCTTATAGATTAAACATATTATAAATGATTATGTGCAACAAGTATTACTTACTTTTCCCATCACAAGCAACAATTTTAACTTTATCCACTATTGCTACTTCCTGAACTTCACGAAATTCAACATCGTTAAGCATAAATGTCCATACATTATCACAAAATCTGTAAGTATTTAATTTGCCAGCCTAAAAAAGTTTAATGTAATCATAATTATAATAGTGTAATACTCCAGATAATTATTATCAAATGTTAATGTTGATTACCTTAAATGTAAGTCTTGATTTAACTCTAGTTGCAAGTGCTTGATTTATTGCCTTATCAAATTGTAATAGTACTTTAATTGCTAATTGTGGTGTGATTTGCCCATACTACAACATTATATTACTATATAAGTTAAAACGAATATTGTATTTTACGAACTTAACTTATTATTGAAGACGTTCGTCGATTTATGACAATTAAAACTTTCTGTATTTTCTAAATTTAACTGACATTGTGTAAAAAAATATTAATATAAGATTATCTTTGATTTCGAAATGTGTCAGTTTTTTTAATACGATTCTTCTTTGGAGTCCATGCAGTGACAGAAATTTAGACTAATATTGTTACTGTTTATTTTATACAGGAAACAAGTTGAGAGCAAAAATATTATATTAACTCAAAACGTTAATTTTATTCAGTATTTACCGAAAATCTTAACCTCAATGTTGCATATTTTTATATGCATACCTGAATCAGTTCATCGAGGCTTTCTTGTAACGTATTACCTAACGTTGTGTTTCGATATAATTGATAAGACATTGTCCTTAATGTAAAATAGGCACAATATTAAAGCAGATCGATGTCTATTAATGTAAAAGTAAACTTCATGCGTAATGAAAACGGTTCACAGTATTTGTTGATTAACTGTATTCTTAGGCGAAGTTGTGCAGCACTTGTATAAATGTACCAATAATAGTAGAAAATGACATTGCCGATAGCGGTAGATTTGAAGTCAATATAAATTTTTTTGCTTTGTCATACATTGTATGTATTACAATTGTATTAAATATTTATTTACACAATAAATACCATTTATTCATTAGCATGGTAGAATTTTTAAATAATATTAGAAAGAACGAAATATATGATATATAGGAAGTTATTAACGATAATTCATTTATTCAATAAATTTATTATCATTTTTGTTCTCTTATATGTATTACTCATATTTGTTAAGTAACATTTTTTTCAATTTGCAACATCGTACTATAACTTAATTGAGTAATTTTCGGAACAACTATAATAATAATGGCAATAAATGTGTACATATGAAATAACATTGCGCGTTAATTGAAAATGTAATGTATTCCGTAAGATAGAATTATCTTGACAAAAGCATAGTATTATGCTAATCCTGAAATTTCATAGCACGAGATACATTTATTTAATTTTTATGTAGTTGTAAGAGATATGTCAATTTATGCCAAGTATATTAAAGCGTTACATATGTGTTAAACACTGTTTAATTGTGAATAATTTTCCTTTGAATGTTCACTATATTAATTTACTATATTAATCATAGAAGGTTAAAAATAGTATTTCTATTGAAAAAAAAAAGCGAAGCTAATATTTCGTGTGCGTGTTAAGCTGTATAAGATCGTCCTCCAGTCACGTATGCAACACGTATACCTTGTGAATGTTTGATAACGGTATCTGCAGATGGTCAATACGGTAGGTAACTGTAACACCAACGTGGCCTGCCATCGCTTATCCCGCGAACTTTCCAAGCAGACACGTGGTGCATCACTGCGATACTTCCATTCCAACTCCCCACCACTTTCTGCGCAGACAAATCAAAATTTAGAGAGCAATTTTAAAACTTCTGTGGAACGCAAGTTATAACGTTCGCGGTCATGTTGGTAGTGACATATCAATTAACACGACATAACTATTTTCGTGCGTAAACGGGGAAGAAGAATAGTCGAACGTTTAAAGTGAATATTTTCGCGCACGTAGACTTTCCATGTAAAATGTATTATCGAAACTTCAAGAGTACTGAAATTAGATCGCATTTCGAAGTGTTTTTCAATGCCTGCTTATTCACTTCGTGCTATAGTGTAACATTCAAAGGTGAGCCCTTAATAATCGAGCCTGGAATTTAACGTGAGCTACAGAGGAAATAACACGAAAGCAAAATTTGTTAATTCACTCATGTTATGTTGGTAACAGTTAAATTATGGTGGGAAATTATGTTCAGAGCACAAAGGGTGTAATATGTAGTGGCCATAACGAGACACAAACGATACAGATCGAAACCACGCGGTAACACGTTTTTCATGTTCAATTTTAGGCGCCATGTAAAGAACGTACATTACGAGTTTCTGAATCGAATGCAAGAATAGATTGCTTTTCTTCAGATGAAACTTCGTTTTGGTAAGTTTTTTTTTTTATTTCTGCATGCAATTATTTCGTGCGTTTTTTCGATATTTATTTTCAACTGATCTATCGAGTTAAAAGTGTTTGATTGTTTCGAACAGATTCAGATTCACGTTATTCAAATTTATAAAAGCACATTCGAAGTGTATATATTTCTAAAGTACGATTTTTATACGACGTATATTTTTTTCTTCCTTTTTTTTTTGTCAATTGCGGTAAGTAAAATTATAAGAACAGACATATCGCACAATTTTTAA